GGGGGGGGGGGGGGGGGGGGGGGGGGGGGGCAGTGTGCAGAGTATAATCGATGCAGCCGTGATTTCAGCAATAAACTATTGAGGCTGAGTGTGGCTGGATAAGATAAAACAGGGATTGATTTTATCTTACAGTGGTAGTTTTTAATCTGTTCGTAATTTTTGATTCAGTGGTTTTTTATTTGTTTTAGAGTTTTCATTTCATCCTCCGTTCTGAAGCACTTCAGGGCGCGAGAAAATCTTAACTTCTGTTTATAGTGCTCTCATTATTTTGCTCACTAAACTCGATAGTTTCGCATCTTTGGCTGGCCCCATATGCTGCCTTTAGTTTTACCGATGCTATGCAACTTTTAAAATCTTGCATAATTCGCGCAGCACGAAAGTTGCCTCGTCATGCAGCTTCCCTATTTTTTCGCTTGCTCTAACTGTGTTGGTGTTACTGGTGGGGAACCAGGATCGGAAGTTTTTTTTTGAATTTTGCACCGATACCGGGCACTTTCTGCCTGTCATCACTCCACTGCATTTTGTCTGAAATTTAGCTCTCTTTTGAGCCACTCTTTTCTGTGCTTCTTCTGGCTGCCAGTCATATCTCGCGATTTTACAGGAAACAAAATATAAATTTACTGACTGTTTTAATTTTGTTGGGAATTGTTCCATGAATTTCTTCTGCAAATGATTTGCAGAATTTTGCACTGCTTGGCCGGAGAATTTGGATGATGAAGCACGTCATAAATTTTTCCCGTTGACGCTTTCTTACAACGATTATGTGCATCAGAGTAATTCGCTGCGTGATATGCGATCGCGAATCATTGTCATGAAAGTCCGAGTATCTGATCTTCATCTCGATGAGCATGCCTTCGACAAATTAGTTCGTTTAGCGGGTGATAGGTACAATCCAGGATCTGATATGCTTACGATTGTAACGGATAGGTAAGTGGATTTGCCACTGTAAGTGATTTATGTGGCCGCGTATTATGCTTCCTTATTTTTAATCGCCAAGGGGTATGCGCAGTGGAAGAAACGGTGAAGCAAACGGCGGATGTAATGGAAAAAAGCATTGGGTTCTTTAAGCAGGCTTTTTTTCGTTTACTACAGGTTTTACGTACCCTGGGCGAAGAAGCTCGTGACATTTTCCTTTTTTGAATGTTTGTGTGAAATAGGCCGTGTGTGTGTGTTTGTGTGTGTGTATATGTGTGTATGTGTATATGTGTGTGTATGTGTGTGTGCGTGTGTGTGTGTAAGGAAGAGCCAACAATTATTAGCTTTTTTTGTCTTTGGTTTGTCAAGACGGAAACAGGCTTAAGCAGTTATAAAATTTTCCTGCTTAGTTACCTTGCTTTGTGGTGCAGCTATTCTGGCGAACCAAGAATTTGCTTATAACCTTAATAAAGACGGTTGGTCATGTGGCAGTTTGCTTCGCCTCTTGCACTTCATTTATAGCAAATCGACGTTCTCGTAAAAAATCTGAAGTGTTCGGAGAAGGCGACTGTTGAAGAGGACAGTTTCTGGACTATGTGCTCTTTGCAGCAGAATCTTTAATCAATGCTTTTAACGGTATAAGCGGCGGCTGTATTTGGGCATGCGTTGCCTTTTAGAAGTAGCATTTGCTTCAACAGTGACATCGGCGTTTTTCGCGATGGACTGATTTCATCTTGCTGGCCAGCATTTTACTGTAATTTGCACTGCTGGCTCTAGACCTCTCTTTCTGGGTAGTTTCCCAAAAATGACTCCCTTCTTGCCGTAAACCATTCGCCATAATTTTCCTGCAAAAGATTGAATCTTGAGTCGTTTTGTATTGTACAACAGCTGCACGGAACGCATATTGTTACGGGATTGTCTGTGTGTGTTTTTGTGTGTGTGTGTATGTGTGTATGTGTGTGTATGTGTATGTATGTTATGTGTGTGTATGTGTTTGTGTATGTGCGTGTGTGTGTGTGCGTGTTTGTGTGTGTGTGTGCAGCAACTTATCTGCAGTTTTCAACTCGGGAACCACAAAAGCTAGGAAGCTGAAAATTTAGAGGTATGCTTCTCGGCATCTGTAACTCCGCTAATTTTAGCTCAGCCTTCCCCTGCCCACAAGTAACACGTATGGCCCCGTAGAAGTTTTGGCGAGTAAATTATTATCTCGAGAACCGTGGAATCTGGGAATCTGAAATTTTAAGACAATTACTTCCTGGCCACGTACGACTTTGCAAATTCGAATTCAGCTTTCCCGCGCTCTCGGGTATCATCTTTAGCCCGTGGATATTTTAGCGGACAAACTATCTCGAGAACCATAAAAGCCAAGAAGCTGAAATTTTGCGGTAGTACGCACTATCCACATACAATCCCGCAAACTTAAATTCAGCCTTCCTGCGCTTTCAAGTATCACTTACGGCCTCGTAGAAGTGTCGGCGAGGAAAATTATTATCTCGAGGGTTACGAAAGTTGGGAATCTGTAATTTTAGGGCGATATCCCCTATCAGCTTACGACCCCCGCGAATTTGGATTCAGCCTTTACGCACCCCTTGGTACCAATTATGCCCCTGTGAAAGTTTTATCAGGGAAGTTGTCTTGTGAACTGAAGTTTTAGCGTGGCATCCCCTGCCTACGTACAGTTCCACAAAATTTTCAACGTTCACATGAAAGTTTTGGCGAGATAAATCATTATTTCGGGAGCCAGAAGAGTTTGAGGCTGGAAATTTCAGGAGAATGTTTCCTGAATAGACAGGGGCTTCACAGACCCGAATTTAGCTCCTTAGCATGCCGAGGTCTTACTACCACGTGAAAGTTTTTTCTCAAAGATCATTCGAAAGCCAGAAAATTAGGAGATTGAAATTTTGGTGGGGTATTCACCCTTCGAGGTTTCAAATTCAGATTTCAGATACCGGTGCGTGGAATTTTTAGCTATGTTATTTTTGCACAGACCAAAGTGCAAAGGAGCGTAAACCATTAACAGGCAATCGTTCGATGGACGGAACTGCACAAAACGCGTGGTCGCACCGGCTATTCTGGTGCGCGCTGCTATTTATTTAGGGGGGGAGAGGGTCCCTGCTGCTTTCATTGCATGTTCGTGTGCCTAAATTGTGTCATGGAATAGTAGACCAAGGTTTCTTCTCCGTAAAAGCGAGCGTTGCATCGCTGCTAACCTAATTTAAGCCGTGGCGAAAATGCTGGTATTTTTTGATTTTCCATCGTACAAGTTACAGTCCGGTACAGCGATTAAAATTTCAGATGTTTTACAAGGAAACAAAATTTTGACTATGCTATGTACCTTCTTGTGGCGCTTTATAGCGAATCCTATGTAAGTTTTTTTTTTGTTTAAGTTCTGTCTTACTGATTTATATGCCGATTTTGAGTCATTTAAACATTCGAGAGGCTACCGTTTCTTCCTCCTTTTTCCTTTCGTAGTAAACAGGTGCTGAAATTGTTAATATTAAAGTAGTAGTTCGGCGGCTTTTTATGCGTTTTTGTTGCACAGCGCTATAGCGCTACTACAGCGAACAAAAACATATTGTCGAGCAGAAGAAAAAACACATATGGGGTCGTCGGTGTGTGTGTTTCGGAAGCGAGCAAACTTTGTCACACACTTTCAATTCGGCATCTAGGAGAGCTGGGAGGCTGGAATTTTGGGACTATATTCCCATGCGGTGGGAATACAGTCCCAAAATTTCTCGTTTTAAGATCTTCCCCCATAAGCGCCTAGATCTCGCTTACGGACCTCCGAAAAAATATGCATACTTCTTTTGCGGGAAACAGTTTTGGGAACTAAGCACGTTGGAAAGCTGAAACTTTGCAGGGATATTATATTTGCTTGTTTGTGCTAAAGATTTCAAATTCAGCAATGTTTGCATTTGGGAACTGTGCTAACTCGAAAACTAGCTGGAAAAAAATGGCTGAAATTTTGTCAGAATATTTATCGTCCATATGGGAAATCACATACGTAAAATGAACTCCGAACTGCGCTTGCGCCGCGACTTAGAGCACTTCAAAGATATTTGTAGGCTGTTTCGCTTATCGGATAATGTGCGAAGCTGAAACTTCGCTATGATATTCTACTTTCAAGTGTAGTCTTAATTCTGCTTGGAAGTGAAATTCCCTACAGGTGGGTATGAGAAATACCCACCTTTACCACAAACTCAGAAACGAGTGAATTTTGCAGCGAACGACCGCCCTTATTCTCTCGCAACATCCAGTTCATTTACATGCCTGGAATTTTTGACGAAAGACCGCTGTAGCAACATTTCCACTTTTCAGTGAAGAACTGAAAGCGGCTGATGGGAAAGGATGAGGGTGGTCGTTCGCTGCAAAATGCCCTTGTTTCTGAATGAAATCTGCGTAAAAAGCTAAGCAAAAACGCATGCTCGCACCGGCTAGCCAGATGCGTTCCAGCCTGGGTTTTTTGGTGTAAAAATGCTAGTTTTAATCAAGATGAAATGCGAGTTTAGCATACGAATGTGAGACTTCTTCAAAAGTTAAACTGTTGAAGAAATTTTATTAAAAGAAGGTTTAAGTTAATTGAAAAATACCAATCAACTTTGAAAATGGAACAAATAATCCAAAAATGCTTGTTCTTGTGCCACATTGTAAAAATTTCAATAAATATATATTCATGCTAATAAACTCGGGTACCTTATTTTTTTTTTTTTTTTTGTGGTGCTGCACTGTTGTACCAGAACAGTCAGCAGAAACACGTATTGTAAGGACCCGGTGTCGACTTTTCTGGTTAAAAGAGTGCAGGTTTATCTATACAAAAATAAGCGGCAGCTTTTTGCGGAAGTTTATTCATTTCCAAAATTTCAGAAAATTGAAGAATGGGAAGCAAAAAAATACGAAAATCTTAGACTCGTTTCCCGAATAACCAGTTTCAAAAGTTCAAAAATGGAAGATAATTTGGAACATTTGCTTTCTTCCTTGGAAAAAGGAGAGGTATTTGTTTTTCTATATATTTCGGCGGAATCAGTGAGCTGTTTCCAGTCGTTCAGTGCATTTTTTAATTTGTGAGGCCGAAGAAGCTATTGAATATTTGCATTGGTTCCTCTTTCCGTAACGGACGTGAGTTTTTGTTACGCTCAGTAGTCATGCAGTCAAATTTAAGCTTTGGTGTAAATCTGTGACAAAGCAAACCATTCCTGGCGGTTCATTCATTTTGGTGGTATATTGATACTGACGTACTTGGCATGCTTGACCCACTTCAAAATGTCTACTTCCTTATTGCCAGATATTTGAAAAGAGTTTTAACTCAGAATCTTGGAATAAAACTTGTGATTTCTTATGTGTTTTGTGCTGTGTAACAGCAGTACAAACGTGTGACGCGGCATATTTCAATTCAGCCTTCCCGCAACCGCGGATAACACGCGCGACCTCGTAAAAGTTTTGGCGGGTAAAATCAGTATCTCGGGAACCACGGAAGCTAGGAAGCTGAAATCTTGTGAGTATGTTTCCTAACTACGTGCGACCCAGAAAATTTAAATTCAGTTTTCGCGTGCGTTTTAGGTATCGAAAGGCCTATAGCCGTTTGGCTGGGAAGGATGCTGTTTTAGTCAGCAGACACCATTTTGTGAAAGGCATCGAATTTTGTGCATTCTTGCTTTGCCGTGGACCTGTAGGTCATCGGTGCTTGTTTGTTGTCTATTAGCCTTTATACCTTGTTCTTGCCATAGTGTTGACTGTCTTTCATTAATTCTAGCACTTTCTTAGTCCAGTAAATGCAGTGTTTGATTTAGAAGAGCGAAGCAGTACAGAAGAAAGTTGAAGGCAAACTCGAGGAATTCAGTAAATCATGGGAGGCCTATCGAAATAGGGTATGTTCGTTTGGTGATGTATCAACGTTTTTTTTTTTTTTTTTTTCAATGATCTCCCATCGTTATAGCGAGGGTTTGGAGACTTTTGACTACTTTTAATTTTTTTTTTTCTTTTGCGAGACTTTTAAAATCTTTCGTTATTTTGGTTCAATGCAGTCACTGTGTTTAGTATTTTAGGCTCATTTTGTCGCTCTTTAGCCTGGTGTAACACTTTTAAAATGACTTTTCCGCTCTTTTGTTCACGATTAAAAAGATTATTTTAATTACTGAGGCTTTGGCCTTACACAGGTGATTTCAATTCCTTATATTTCTGGATACGCTGCTGACTTTCTGTGCCTTTTAGCGAGTCGGTAGTAATTGGCTTCTTAGATCACGAGCGGTAGTAGAAATGTGTTAATGGCATTTTGCAGTTCTGGTTTCATCGCATTAGTTTTGCTGTAGGTTGATCAGGTATTCGCTGGAAGCACTATCGAAAAGCCCACTAGGTTTAGCCTGATCACCACGGTTGTAATGTTTTTCGAATTCTAATCCAGTGAGCTGTTAATGTTCGTTCAAAATGTATAACTCGATCATCGCGTTCTTGATATTTGAAGCTTTGTGCTGGTCGAAGCCATACCGTACCTTTCTGCCTGCTTCCAGTTGTTGCCTGCTATATTCATTGATTGCATACACCATATTTTCTGGTACCACTTTGGTGGTCGTTTTGATTTCATGGTTTACCACTTGCTGATGGAGAGCACACATGAGTTAACAAATTTGTTGTACGGGGAATTGTCTGTGATTTGCATCTTTTTTAGAAGGAGACGTTTGAAACGGTGCGCGAATATGCAGAATCAATCAAGAAGTTGCTTGGGATTCCTGAGATAACGGATCCCAAACTATCAGATACATCAGCCCACAGGATACAGTACTGAACTTTTCATTGCTTTTTTTTATTTTAATAAAATTATCCGGTCTAAATCGCACAGTACTGTGTGTGCGACAGGATGACGCGCATTGTGGTCAGATCAATTTATCACGTAAAAGCGTGTTTTATCGGTCTATAGCACGTCCTGCGTTGTTTTCATCGGACAGCAGCCACATAATTACTCTGTAGTTACATGCCGTAGGGTTTGTCTCGCTCTTGGCTTCAAAGTTATTTTTATGGTTGACTTCAAAGTTATTTTTACATTTAGGGTTATGCTGGTACTTTGGTTACTACCAGACATACATGTGTTCCTTTCGTCGTTTTTATGCATTTTTGCAAAATTATGCAAATGCAAAAACGCACACTGACGAAATGTTTTCGGTGTTTGTGTGAATGTGTGTATGTGTATGCATGTATGTGTGTATGTGTTTGCATTTTTGTCATCCAGTTTCAGCTCAGCAGCCAGAATAACTGGAAGGCTGAGCGTTTTGGAATATGTTCCCACCCCGGAGTGTAACACTCCAATTTTAACACGCATGCCTGTGTACGAGTACCTAACTTTAAATTTTTGGATGGGAATACAATTTGGGAAATCAGACAAGGGGGCGGAGCTGAGAATTCACATTCCGGGGCTTTGTGGGAGCTAAGGGCTTCAAATTCAGCTTTAACGCGCGCGTAGTTATGCACATGAACATGTCAAAGTTTAGATTCAGGTGTCGCTGGCAAAGCACCAGCTTAGGGGCTAGATTGCGCAAAATGGTTGATTTTTTGACAACATTTACTTGCTATATGTAGTTAAAAATAAAATTAGCTTTCGCGTGCGTTTGTAGCACGCGTACGGGCGCGAAAAATGTGTTTTTAGCGAAGAAACAGTTTTCGGAACAGTCAGGCTGGGATACTAAAATTTTATGAACATTATTTGCTTGCGATCTAAAGTATTCAAATTCATCTTTGCTACTACACATCCAGGTCTCGCGCTAGACGCAAATAAAGTTTTAATTTTGGGAAATTTTGGTTTCCGTTAAACTCAGTAACCAGAATAAATAGGAAGCCGCAGTTTTACAAGATTGATCGCTGTCCAAGTGCGAACCTCTAGTCGTAAGCTTTTGATTACTAATATGCCCTGCTTAAAGCACGTCATATGTTCAAATTGCAGCACTTTCACAATCCTTTACGCTTGATAATAGAACAGGCAAAAAAGCAAAAATTCAGCGAGGATTCTTGTTTATCTTGCGCAACACTATGACCATAATATCACCTTTCATAAACGGTGTGCATACAGGGCAGACTTGATGGTGAAAAACCATCGGCAGTTTCTTTTCGCTGTAATTTTGCATGCTGGGGTTTGAGATATTACGCTGCGCCATAATCCAACAGCACTGTTCCAGCGGTTAGCCAACGTTCCTGTCCCATCATATGCAGCAAATGACCAGAAACATTGTTAGCATGTGTGCATACGTTAAAGTGTAAAGCAACGGCCATTCATGTTTTTATGCGTTTTTGCATATATGCAAATTGCAAAAACGCGTATTGGGAAGAGGCTGTCTGTGTGTTCGCACTTTTTGTCACCCACTTTCAATTCGAGAACCAGAAAAACCTAGAAGGCTGAAACTTTGGGATTATATGTCCGTGCCATGCGCGACCCTCCTGTTTTAATATCATCCCCCGCGGACGCCTGGGTGCCACATACGGGCGCTTTAAAAAAAATGCAAATTTTATGGCGGGAAAGCGATCTCGGGAACCAGACCAGATAAGGGGTTGGGACTTCGTAGGGGTATTCCCTGTACATGTTTTAGCTAAAGATATCAAATTCAGCCCCCAGTTATGCGTGGTGTTCACGTAAGGGCGTATGAAAATTTTGGCGGGAAGATCGCTAACTTGGGAACCAGGACAGCTGAAAGGCTGAAATTTTGGAGAAATGTCCCCTGTCCAAGTAAAACTTAAATATTTCAAATCCAGCCCTCAGGTATGCTTGGTTCTTACGTACGAGCACGTGAAATATTCGGCGAGATAATTGCTAACTCGGCAACCAGAAAAGCTGGAAGGCTGAAATTTCAGGGGAATGTTCCCTGTTCACGTGCAATTGAGAGATTTCAAATTCAGCTTCCCAAGTATGTGAGGTACCCATGTACGGGCATGTGAAAGTTTTCGCGGGAAATTGCTAACTTGGTAATCCGAAAAACTAGGTAGCTGAAGTTTTGGGGGGAGGGGTGTTCGTAATACAAATACAACTTAAATATTCCTAATTCAGCCTTCAAATATGGGTGGTTCTCATGTATAGGCACTTAAAAGTTTTGGCGGGAAAATTGCTCACTGAACAGCTAGGTTACTTCCAAAGAACGACCGTTAAATGAAAATTGTACATTTACTTTTTGCAAACTTTATGGTGATTTATGCTAGTGACCGCAAAAGGTAGGTGTAAAGCAATAGCCATTCATGCAGTTAA